CTAAAATGCACAGATGCTCAGGCTCCACTCTTGGAAATGGGGAGCAAAGACCTCTATGATCCCCTCCTCTAAAATACTACCTTACTGGGGCTGGGAAGGTGGTTCAGTGGTAGAGTGCTTGCCTCAAATGCATGAGGCCCTGGGTTCAATTCCTCAGCACCACATAAGCAGAAAAAGCCAGTCGTGGCTCTGTGGCTCAAATGGTAGAGCCGTGGCTCAAATGGCAGAGGGCTAGCTTTGAGCTGAAGAGCTGAGGGACAGCACCCAGGCCCAGAGTTCAAGCCCCATGACCGACCAAAAAAAAAAAAAAAAACTACCTTATAAGTTTGGGGGAAAGGAAAAAAAATTTTTAGAATGACTATGTTATGTTAATCAGGCAACTTAGTACAGCCCTTGCTGACAGCAATTTAGTAGGTAACATTCATCAAGCAATAAAAATGAACAAATTTTCTAACTTGAAATTCAACTTATCCCAAGCCCCCCAAAAAAACAAGACTTGACAAGTTACTTATTGACAAGATGAAGTTGTTCAGAGTCCTTGTTTTGTAACCTGCCCTGAAAACATAAAACATGATATAATGATGGTGGCTCATATCTATAATCCTAGCTACTCAGGAGGCTGAGATCTGAGCATTGCTTTTCAAAACCAGCCTAGGCAGGAAAGGCAGTGAAACTTTTATCTCCAATGAGCCAGCAAAAAAAGCTGCAAGTGGCTGGGCTTGGGTGGCTCACACCTATAATCCTAGCTACTCAGGAGGCTGAGATCTGAGGATGACAGTTCAAAGTCAGCCCCGGCAGGGCAGGAAAGTCCATGAGATTCTTACCTCCAATAAACCATTCCAAAAACCAGAAGTAGCGCAATGGCTCAGGTGGTAGAGCGCTAGTCTTCAGCTGAAGAGCTGAGGGACAGTGCCCAGGCCCAGATTTCAAGTGCCAGGACCAACCAATTAAAAAAAAAAAGCAGCTGGAAGTGGATTATTGTTCAAGTGGTAAAGTACTAGCTTGAGCAAAAAGCTCAGGGACAGAGTCCAGGCCATGCCTTCAAGACACAGAACTGGCAGCAGACACATAGACACACATAGACAGACACAGACTCACACACAGACAGACAGACAGACACACACACACACACACACACACACAAAATAAAGAGCTTTCCCATTCAAGGATAGTGCTCTACCACTTTGAGCCACAGCTCCACTTCCAGTTTTCTGGTGGTTAACTGGAGAGGAGACTCATGGACTTTATTGGCTGGGCTGGCTTTGAACCCCAATCCTTAGATCTCAGCCTCCTGAGTAGCTAGTACAGCCAAGAGCCACATGAGACTGGCGTCCTTCAGTTTTTTGTTTTTTTTTTCCCAATGTGCCCAAGTCATCTTTGTAATAAGCCTAGTTTGGTCATAGTCAACATACCACTCACAAAGACATGGTCTAGCATATACTCCAGCCTTCAATTTTACTTTATTTCTTAATATGAACTTTAGACAAGGCATAGACACTTTCAGAAATTCTACTTATGCACATACTTAATATGAAGTAGACTAGAAAAAATTTTTCAAAAATCAGGCAAGGAAATATAAGTCATTTTAGCCGGGTGCCGGTGGCTTACGCCTATAATCCTAGCTACTCAGGAGGCTTGAGATCTGAGGATCACAGTTCAAAGCCAGCTTGGGCTGAAAAGTCCCTGAGGCTCTTATCTCCAGTTAACCACCAGAAAACCAGAAACAGTGTGTGGCTGAAGTGGAAGAGCAACAGCCTTGAGCTGAAGAGGTCAGGGTCAGCACCCAAGCCCTGAGTTCAAGCCCCTCAACCACAAAAAAAATAAATAGGCCATCTAAAAAAAAAACAAATCCCTAGTTTTTTGTAGGTCTTGTTAGTTCATTCCATCAGCATTTATTCTCTCACCTAAACTAAGAAAAAATTATGTCATTCACATTAGCCACATTTCTGTTCTAAAACTGACCTAAAAAACCTCATTTTGGACCTTGTTAAGTACAACAAATCTGAGATGAGAAAGTTAGATAAGATTTAACTGCAGGCAAATATTGGCATTTATAAATCAGTCAAGAAGTTACTTGTAGCCGGGCGCCGGTGGCTCACGCCTGTAATCCTAGCTACTCAGGAGGCTGAGATCTGAGGATCGCAGTTCAAAGCCAGCCCGGGCAGGAGAGACCGTG